TATGAAAATATACACATAACAATATCAAATATACAATTATACAATTATTCAAATCACACAGAAAAATAAAGTACTTTCAAAATATAAATAGTAAAGATAAGAAAGATAGAGAAGAGAAAGCTGTGCAGAAGAGTGGGTCAGTTAATGTAATGCATACTTTATATACAGGGTGGGTATAAGAGTCAAGATGTCATATGTACAGTATGAACACAAGCTAGTACGAACAATGAAAATCTAACTTTGCCCGACTCCTGAGGTAGCACAAAGTAGAACAGTAAGAACGTAATAATTAAAAAAATACAAATTTTTTTTAATATAAACTTAAAATTCAATATAGAAATATAATAAAATATAACATGATTAGGTTCAACTTAAAACTTAAAGTGGCAGAACATTTTTACTGTAGACAAAAGAAGAAACCTGAAACCTCTTAATGCAGAAACTGTTTACAAAATCAAATAGGAATCAGCAATACGCTTCCTTACTGACCTGACAGATTCAGACAGAAAATCTACACGAAAAAGACAAATCAATAATAAAGATAAAGAAACTTCTGAATACATGTCATAAAAGCTGAGGGATTGGAATAATCAAACATTTCTAAGAATCACACTAGTTTTAATATAAGGCCTATATCTTCGAAGGATTTTATATAGACGGTATTACATGCTGTGACTCATCCTTTATGAAAATAACATTTTTGCACTATAGATTGCATTCAACGCCTCTTACACTTTTGGTCCTGCATACAGATTACAAATAACTGAACAAAAATCCACACTTATAAAAAGTGTTTATGATGCATCATACATAATAACGGCGTAACACACTCACTGCTTTCTCTATTAGCTTCTGGACAAACGCATTCATTGACAACCCCAACAAGGGACAACAAAGCTGAAAAAGAACAAGATACAAAAGTCAATAAAATATAGTGTCAGATTGCATCGTGCTCAAAGTGGTTATTTAAATATATGCATTTATACAGATAGTATATGCACAGTTATTCTGTCTGTTTAGATTAGACAGTGGTGAATGTGCTTATCCACCACATTTGAAGAGGGAAATATTCTAACTTTTTATAATTCTTCCATAGTTTTCTTTTCTAGTTATTTTTAACAATTTAACCAAGATTTTGTTAACACACAAAGAGCTAATTAAAAATATGATGTTCCTGTTATGAATTAAGCCTAACCTAACAGTTTATTCATATAATCTAAAATGTTTAGTCCGATTAATAATATCAAGACTGTTATTTGAATTGAATGAAATGATTGAACAATTTCATATTTGATGGTTCAGCTTTCTAAATGTTAGGATTGCTGTTTTTCTTTTAATTATTTATTTATTACTAAATTTAATGTTTGGACTGTTGGTTGACAAAACAAGCAGTGTGAAGTTGTCCCTTTGGGCTTATGCACCAACTGCACCAGGTCACGTTCTCGGTGGCACTGCGCATGCACTTAAAAAGGCGGAAGCAGAAGACGTCACAATGTGTCTCGCTATCTGCCAGGGGCGAAATCTATCTTAAACTATCGGTAAAACAACTGCGGGTTGTGACACGACGATTAAGCTCATTGTGTCCTAAATGGGGGCAAAAAACGCGAGAACAAAAGACGAAAAAGCGCCACTGTTTGCGAACAGGGCTTACGGAGCGAAACCGGAAGTACATGCAGGATTGTCCTCTCGCACCCGCTCAGTCCTCTGCGCTGTCGTCCGAGAATGGCCGCTGCTGCAGCAGGAATAAACAAGCAGGGCGCCGTAGCGACGATGGAGCCCTGTATCCGACACGGGAGGGGAGCTAACGGAGGCACGGTTAAGGTTGTACAATGCTGTCCCTAAAAAACCACGGCTAACAGCTACATTACGTCTTGTTTGGTTGGTTTAGCACGCAGGGGAAAGGCAGCAGTCTTCGTGGCTCCTGGTTCTGGCTGAAGGCTGCTGCGTTGGCGTTGCTGGCGCTGGGTGCCAAGAGCGTCACGTCGACTCTAGATGAGCTGCGTGCGAGAGTTGTATCGGAAGAAGGTTTCTGCGCACTTCTGATGATATAACGGACTTAGTTTGAGGTTTATGCATCATCACAAGGCTGATGTTTGTGTCTGCTGCATGCTTACAGTGCTGGGGGAGGCTGGGGGAGGCTGGGGGGTAGCTGTGGTTGACTGCAGCTCCTCTGTGTGGTGGCACAGCTCAGTAACGTGATCCTATTTAAAACCTGCTCCTCTTAATATTGTGTTAACAGCTTTAATTTAAAGATCACAGTTAGAAAACAAGAGAGTTAACCACCTGAAATGCTGTGAGTCAAGGTGACTGCACCTCCCACTGAGATATTCACTGACTCTAATGGACTCCTACAGTCTCTCTCTCTCTTCCTCTCTCTCTCTCTCTCTCTGCATAAATCACTTAAACTATGAACTCAGTGCCAGATATTAAATCTCTCCCTCCCTGCAGCAGTGGCTGTCACAGATAGGATGTTTCTGGAAGTTCATCAAGGTTTGTGTGTTTTATTTTCAGGTGCTGGAGTGCGGTGTGTGTGAGGACGTCTTCTCTCTGCAAGGGGACAAGGTCCCTCGTCTCTTGCTCTGCGGTCACACAGTGTGCCACGACTGTCTAACCCGGTTGCCCCTACACGGTCGAGCAGTCCGCTGCCCCTTCGACAGACAGGTCACTGAGCTGGGTGAGTAAGAGGATTACTGTAATAAAACATCTGTCTCCTGTTTGAATTTTATACATTTTAAGGCGTCTTTTCTTCTGAATTGGCTTATCTTGGCCAGTTGTTTCAATACTTTGGATATTATAACATAAGACAGACCAGCTCTGCTCAGTTTAACTCAGACAAGCCATGTGCATAACAGTGATACAGCAGGCACAGAGGTATTCAGGCGTATTCTGCCGAGGTAAAAAAGGATGTGAACCAGTTTCTAATGCTTTGGGACTCCGGAGAACTCGAGGCAGACACATCTGTCAGGTGACATGTCTCTCTGGCCGGAGAAAATCTGGAAGGTTTGTTGAGCATCTTCCCTTCAGTTGTCATCATATCAGGTCAAACCAGCAGAGAACCTTACGACACCGTCTGGGGACTTCTGGGTTTTTCTTTTCTTCTGAATTTAAGCAGAAACTGCAGTTATTTATGAAAACAGGAACATCCAACCAAAGTTGATTGAAAAGCCCGTAACTTTCCTGGGAAGTCGTGTATAGATGTGAGGATAGATGTGTCAATGTTGCTCTAATTATCCATCTTAAAAGTTCACAGTTACAGTTCCATTTGTTTTTGCACTGTACCGTGTGGTTCGTTAGCGTACGGCTGCTATGACATGACAATTTCCCCCCTGGGATAAATAAAGGATCTGCTGTCACTGAAGCACACATTGTATGAAATCTGCTCTAAATTAGAGAGCTGCACTAAAATTATTTTTGACTAGATTCAACTTATGTGTATTTGCTTGCGTTATATTGCAAAGTGCTAATTTTTACACACAATTCATTCATAGTAAACATACTTACTGCTACAGGAGTGTGTGTCCTGTTGAAAAGTCCAGTGTGTACATTAAGGAGGACGTATTAGCAGAAATTTGAGTATAATATTTATAGTTATGTTTTTATAAGTGTATAATCACTGAATAGAGGAATGTTGATGTTTTTGTTACCTTAAAGTGAGTGTTTTATCACTCAGGTTTGTAGATTGTGTACTGTAGTCATGTTTTCTACAGTAGCCTAAGAAGGACAAACCAACCACTGGCTATAGATGGATATTTTTGGGCATTTTGCAGCCACCATATTTCACAGTTCTTTGTCATTATCTCTGTATTGAGGGGGGGGGCTCTTCACCTGCTGCTGTCTTCTTGTCTCAGAGTGTTTTCCTTATTTCCACACGTGTTTAGGGGACTCTGGAGTTTGGGGTCTGAAGAAGAACTTTGCTCTGCTTGAACTCTTGGAGCGACTCCAGAATGGAGCTACCAACCAGTCGGGAATGGCGGAGGACGCCCTGAAAGGGATGGGAGAAGTAAGGCACCTGTGATTCTACTGTTTTCTGCAGTCACCCTCTCTCCCTCTGCACCTCTCATTCACAGTTCTTCTCCTCATCTAGTGTATCATCCGCTGTGACGAGGACGAGAGCCACACAGCCTCTATGTACTGCACGGTGTGTGCCACCCACCTGTGTGCCGAGTGCTCCCAGCTCACCCACTCCACCCGCACACTGGCCAAACACCGCCGGGTGCCGCTGGCGGACAAGCCCCACGAGAAGACCCTGTGCCCGCAGCATCAGGTCCACGCCATTGAGTTCGTCTGCCTGGAGGAGGCCTGTCAGTCCGGACCGCTCATGTGCTGCGTGTGCAAGGAGTACGGCAAGCACCAGGGACACAAGGTAGCTCAAAACAAGTTACAGCAACCGGTCTCACATTAGATGTACTCATCCAAAGAGAGGCGCTCATGTGTTTCCCAACTGTCTCTCCAGCATGCTGTTCTCGAGACCGAAGCTAATCAGATCCGTGCGTCCATTCTGGACATGGCCCACTGCATCCGCACCTTCACGGACGAAGTGTCCGAGTACTCGAGGAAGCTGGTGGGCATCGTGCAGCAGATAGAAGGCGGAGAGCAGATAGTAGAGGACGGAGTTGGAATGGCACACACTGAACACGTAAGAAAGGACTGCTTTTCACCTAACCACTGTACTGATATATTCTGGTGGTTGCATGGTATAGCACAACATATATTTTTAATGACCGGGCTTTTTATAGGTTTATAGTGGTTTATTCTACTGTCAGGAGTACAGAATATAAAAACATTTTAATGTCATTGTGTGTGCAGAATGTAAACTACTT